AGAGATCAGTTTTGCAAGAATAAAAGGAAGTGCTGAGGCCTGTGTAGCAATTTCCACACAGGCTTTTCCTCCACTAAAGGTGCCCAGTGGGCATGAGGAAATCACAAGAACCAGAACAAAAGCAACAGAGCTCTTGGAGCTTAATTCAGTGCAGTTCTGGTACACAGATTTGGAGGTTTATGCTCTCCTGCTGACCTTGAAGGATTGTCTGCTGGTGCTGAATTCCATATGTTGAATTTATGCTTTTAAACGGAAGTGGCTAAAAGGAATTGCTCCTAAAGCTCCCAGTTACTGGTAACCCCACAGATATCATTTTACCAAGCCTTTGCAGCACCCAGCTCGAGGTGGGGCAGTCACAAGCACTTGACCATACAGTCTCGCTGAACAGCAGCACAGAACAGATCCCAAAAGCTCTGCCTCCAAGCCAAAGGCATATTCAGGCTGGCAGAACTGGTTACTGAAAAGGCTGGCACTTCAAAAGTCCATTTGTACAAATGGCAGGAGGGAATTTTGATTTTATTTTAAAAGCAAACACGAAGTGAACAGGGATTCCCAGCCCACCAGAAGATGGCAATTGTAGCAGTAACTCCTTAGAAATCAGTGCTGTATCCACAGCCTTCAGCTCCACCTGCTGCTCCAGCAGGGAGGCACCTAGGCAGGGGCTCACAGTGAAACAGCATGACAAGCAGACCATCTCCAGAGTCTTGAGCAGCAAAGGTCTGGAGGGGCCAAGACAGGCCTGGCTATACAGGAATTTGTGCTCCTGACACTCAGCTGTGAGAGCATTGCCAGAAGCCAAGGGAAAGCTTACACATCTGCAAGTCACAAAGCAAAGACTTGACCCTCTGCAACCTGATTGGTGTTAAGGGAACTGATCTGTGACAGAGGGAAGCATGGAATGGATCCACAGTGAGCACAATGTCAAAAAGGTAGCAGGGATAAAGGTCCCAGAAGACTCTGGACTGGAGGAAAAGTCCTTTCCATGTCAGGAAATGGGATGTACCAGAGAGTCAGGAAGTGCATCCCCCCAAATCAGGTCCACAGGCAACCCCATCGCAGAACCCAACACTCAAGGACAGAACACACAGGGAAACAGCAGAAGTCTTTACACTGTGCTCACCCAGCTGAACTACCCAGTCCCCTAAAGACACACACACATCCTACCTCATGAACCCCAGGAACATCAGGAGGATGAGGCTGACGAGCCACCCTGCTGTGGCAAAGGCCTTGGGCATGGTCAGGGCTCCCGTTCCAACAATGAGGTTGAACATGTACACCAGGCCAACCTGCAATCAGCCACATCATCCAGCATCAGAGGGGGATCAGGAATCACCCAAAACACCTCACATATTAAAATGGAGAGGGCAATCCCTGAGCCAGCAGGGTGGGAACAAGTCCATGTGAGATAATTGGAGGAAGGAACTGAAATCCAAAGAGAACAATGTGGGTGTCTGCACATTTCTGGAGAAACAGATATTCCTCTCCATTTTTCTAATGATTTTAATTTTTTTTTTCTGTCTTGCTTGTAAAGTTATAAAGTGCATGAGATTTTTGTTTGTTTTCAAATCACTGCCTTCTACCAGAAGGTCTGTGCTGTGGGTTGGGGTCGCTCCTTTTTTCCTGACCTGAACACAAGTAGTTATGGCTACGTACCTTCCAGGACCTTTTATTCTCAGTCAAGCAGGAAATACCCAAACAGAATTCTAATTCAAAGCCTGCTTGCCATTTTACCAGTAAGAAGCTGAGCATATTGTGAAGAAGGGATGTTACCTCCTGAAGGGAAAGGATTTTATCTTCTCTGGCAATGAACTTTTTCAGTGTCCAGAGACAAAACAGAACTCTGAACATGGACAGGACCCCTCCCAGGCCAAGAATTTAGCTCAATTAAAGATCAAAAACTGCCAAAGTTGTTGTGCTTTAGTGGTTTTTTTTTAAATATAGGTCAGAGTCTCTCCAGAGGAAAGCCAGTAAAGAGCTGTGTACGAACAGACTTTTCTGGGTGTGGAGCAATTAGCATCAGGAGAATGACTCCCCAGTGACCCTGATGAGAGCACTTCACTGGCATAAGCACAGCGAATTCATCTTTAGCTGAATATCCCAGAATGATGATTTTCCTTTGGTCAGGCAGAAATGAGAATGGTGCCTGTAATGTTCAGCTGGGTTAGACACCTTCAGGGAAAGAGGAGAGCCTCAGCCCTTGAGATTACTCTAGGAAATTCATGCAGCACCAGCATAACAACCTAAGGTAATCCTTGAGGGTCCAGACACCCCAGTTACTGTCTTACTTCTCCATTTTCTCAGTTGTGACCTATTTCTGCAGCCTAATATCCACTTCCCTACATTTAATCATTAACATAGAGATGAAAATTTTAAAGCATTTAAAATCCAACACACAGATTGCAGGGCTGGTTCTAAATTTATTGAGTTCACTTCAGAAAAAAAAAAAAAAGTGTTTACAAAGTGCTGTTTTTAAAAGCTGGCATTTTGTGAAGACTTGTGGCTATAAAAACCGGTATTTCCAGTAGTATAGGAAAGCAGTAATTGGCTCTGCAGTTGCACAGGACACCACATTACAGGGAAGAAACCTCTAAATTACTCACTTCCACTGAAGTGGTATAAAACAAATTACTGCAACAGCTACAGCTAAGTAAACTTTGAGAAATTTGGGGAAAATGTTTACATAAAGCAACAAAAGGGAAGAAAGTGGGATAGCTCCAATGTCCCAGTCCACCCTGCCTATGCCAATGACAAGTTGGGTTGATGAAAACATTAACAAAATATAAGAAAGTGGGCAAAAGAATGAAGAGCTGGTATGGGACATGAAGCTCTTTCTATCACTTTTAGATCTATACTTCAAGCACACATCATCCCTTTACCTTATGAAAAGTCATCTGTGATGTAAAAAAAACCCATATAACTACAAACACTAAGCATCTTTCAGCACCCTTTGACCTCCACCATCTCCTGAAATGCTGAGGTTATGTCCATGAGGAAGTAGGATTTGCAAACACAATGCTGAGGAAGAAGGATTTTGAAAAAAAACTCGTGACCAAACCCACAAGCAGTGGAACTTACATAGGGAGAGTAAAGCTCTCCAGTGTCAGTGATGCCACCTGCCATCCTGGAGATAGAGGGGAGCCCCAGAGCAAAGCCAGAAGGGTATTTTTGGGAGGGTGTTTTCAACTTCTGTCGGCTTTAACCTAGGGAAACATCATAACACTGTGTTATCTTTGCTGGAAAATGGAAGAACTCATATGTTAGCTTTGGCACATCATCTTTCTCGTATTTGAATAGACTTCAGCAGGACCTTGCCCTTCAGACAGACCCCCCTCACCAGAAGCACTTGGTTCAAGACTCTGCGAGAAGTTTTCATACCTGTTAAACTGGTTTAAAGGCAACCAAAAGGCCCTGCCCTTTCACAGCATGTGATGACCAAACTTTATCTTCTCCAAACAGCCAGAGGGGCTATTCCAGACAACTAAAACCTCTAGAGGAACAATGACTGCCTTGAGGATGATCTCAAGCTGCTGCTTCTCGAAGGCTACTACTCCTTGCAAACATGTGCCTCCTACAAATCAAAAAACAGCCTAAAGTCTCTCCTCCAAAATTCAAGCACAGAAATAAGTAGACAAATGAAAATACGGGACCTATTAAAGCCACACCAAGATGCTTCTCATGCACCAACAGTTCCAAATCAGAAGTATTTGGGAAGCTTTGCATCGTTTCAAAAAAACTAGACATGTATGGGGGAATTGAAGCCTTCTGAAGGTTTCAGTATCAATGACTAGCCATTATTGAATTAAGGGTTTCACACTTCTACATGTGCTCCTACTCAGCCATTCCACCTGGGACAAATCATCAGCACAAGCCGAGCTCCACTAAAAAACCCAGTTATAATCTTGTACACCCACGCTGAGTACCAGAAAAGAACCAGCCAACATAGCTCACTGAGGTCATAACTTGTCCAGCATCAGAAGGAGACATCAAACACCACCTTTTACAACAAACCTCAGCTCAAAACACTGAAGCCAAGTTTGGCAAACACAGAGCAAGCAGCAAGGCAACGGACACACCGGGGCCAGCGTGTCCCCGTGCAGGACCCCACCCTAGGCGGGGGAACGGGCACCAGGGACCCCCGAGGGCACCAGGGACCTCCGAGGGCACCAGAGCCCCTTGACGGCACCAGGGACCCCCGAGGGCACCAAGGCCCCAGGAGGGCACCAGGGACCCCGAGGGCACCAGGCACCCCCGGCCTTACCCCCCCGGGCCTGTACCACAGACGGAACGCTGCGTACACCCCCCGCCCCACAGAGCCCCAACAACCCCGGCAGCCCCCCGCTCCCCCCACGGCCTTCCCCCCAGGCGCGGGTCTCGCCGCTCCGCTGCACACGCCCACACCAGGACCCTCTCTCGGCCTCTCCCCACCGGCCGAGCCGCTGCCCGGCCCTCCTCCCACGCCGTCCTCACACCGGGCCGCCCCGCGGCTCCCCTGAGGGCCGCCCCCGCCCGGTCCTCCCGGTGCCCCGGGCCTCACCAGCGCCCGCGGCTCGCGCCGCCGGCCCCGCCCCCGGCCGCGCGGGGGCACCCACGGCGCACGCGCGGCCCGAGCGCGCGGCCTTCCGCGCGCGTGACCGGGCGGAGATGCCGGACGGTGATTGGGTGAGCGTGAGGGGCGGGGCACGGGAGGAGACAGGGCGTGGCTTACAGGGGGCGTGCGCACGAATGGGCGCGGCCCAGAGGGGGCGTGGCACGGGGAACGGGGCGGGGCGGAGAGGGGCGTGTCCAGGGAAGGCGGGGACAGAGTGGAGGCACCGGCCGTGATTGGGTCACAGGAGGGGCGTGGCCAAGGGGAGGCGTGGCCTCGTGTGGTTATGGGCGGAGCCGTGGGGAGGCGGGGAGTGGGCGCGGCGCGGAGGGGGCGTGGCTACGCGGGGCGGAGCTTTTACGCCACACTCCGTGGCGGGAGGGGTCGCGGTGCGCGCGCATGCGCAGAAGGGCAGGGCGGGCACGCGTGGGCTCCCGGTCCCGGTCCCGGTCCCGGTCCCGGTCCCGGTCCCGCTCGGACCCGGACCCCTCCAGCCCCGGCGTTCTCCTCGGGATGCCGGAACGGGGATCGGGCGTGTCAGTGCAGGCATATCGGTGCGACCTGGGAGATCCGGACTGTGAGAACCGCCTCTCGCCCCCGAAAGGCCGCAGGCGCCGTTGCCCCGCGGGAGGCACGGTGTGGGGGCTTTGGGTCTCTCCCGTAGTGCAGCGGCCATGAGGATTAACCAGGACGTGGTGCTGCGAGGAAAGAAGGTGACGCTGGTGCCCTACAGCCCTGCACACGTGCCCCGGTACGTGCCCCGCGCCCTCCTGGGCCGCTCCTGCATGGTTCTGATTCCAGCTGTCCCTTTGGAGCCAGTGCTGGGCCAGGAAAGGTGACTGCCAGCTGCAGGGCCCGCGTCCCCCTCAGGGAGCTGCCCTCAGAGCCCCAGTGCCGCGGGGAAATGCCTGGCTCTGAGGGACACAGCGCTTCTGTTCATTGAGGCCTTTCCCCGGTGGCGCTGGAAGAGCAAAGCGTCAGCGTGTAAAGCCAGTGGATGTTTGAGAAATCAGGCGTGCCAACGGTTTGTAAAGTAAATCAGCACGAATACAGCGGTGTTAGTATTCCATCAGTGTCCAGGAGGTGCTGCTGTCAGTGTTGCTCGGGATGAAATGCACCAGAAGTCAAAAACATTCCTGGGTCAGGAATGGTGTGGCCAGCAGGAGCAGGGAGGTCATTCTGTCCTCGGCACTGGTGAGGGCACACCTCGAGTGCTGTGCCCAGCTCTGGCCCCTCTGTTTGGGAAGGACATGGAAACACTTCAGCGTGTCCAGAGGAGGCTGGAGAGGGGCTGGGAGCACAAACCCTGTGAGGAACCACTGAGGGAGCTGGGGGTGCTCAGCCTGGAGAAAAGGAGACTCAGGGGTGACCTTGTCACTCTGCACAGCTCCTGAAAGGTGGCTGAGCTCAGGTGGGGTTGGGCTCACCAGGCAGCACTGACAGAACCAGAGGACACAGCCTCAAGCTGTGTCAGGGGAAACATAGGTTGATATTAGGAAGAAGTTTTTCACAGAAAGGTGATAAAGTTCTGGAATGGCTGCCCGGGGAGGTGGTGGAGTCACCACCCCTGGATGTGTTTAACAAAGGCTGGATGTGGCACTGGGTGTCAGTGTTTAGTTCAGGTGTTGGGGTATGGGTTGGACTTGATGATCTTGAAGGTCTCTTCCAACCTGGTCATTCTGTGAATTCTGTGAACATCAGGTGTGCACTGGGCACTCCGGACAAAGCCACAGGACAGGCAGACTCCCTAAATTTCCAGAGAGCCTTGTATTCCATAAGAGACAGAGTCTTGTGGATGCATTTTAAGTTGCCACAAAAGCCAGGATGGTGTTTCCAGAGCTGCTTTGTGATGGCCTGACCCCTGGAGCACTGGGAGGGGCCCTCCCGAGGTGCTGCACTGGGTCAGTGATGTGGGGCCGGGTCCATTGCCAGGTACCACGAGTGGATGCAGTCGGAGGAGCTGCAGCGCCTCACAGCCTCAGAGCCCCTCAGCCTGGAGCAGGAGTACGAAATGCAGCGCAGCTGGCGGGATGATGCTGACAGTGAGCACCTGGAATGCTGTCTGAGGGAGGGTGGGAGTGGTGAGCAGGTCCTTTCCATTCTGGGAAGTGCTGGTAGTGCCCCGTGAGCGAGTTCCCCTAAACCAGAGAGGGATGTGACACTTTCTACAACAGCAGTTTGAACTGGTTTTCTCATTACAGCTGGTATATATTCAGGGAAGTGGACAATATCCACTTCCTCGAGCTGTTTGTGTCTTTTTTATGCAATTTTCTAGAGAGTGTAGTGATTCATTTCCCACAGCATTTTCTGCTGAGCTAAAAAATATTATGCATTACTCCTGCACAGCCAACACTCCCCAGGTCTGATCTTTGCAAGAAGGAGGTTGTATTTCTCCTTGATAAAGTGTATGATTTTATGATCACCTGGTTGATGTGTGTTGACTAAATTGGTTCCCTCACTCTCCTACAGGTAATGAATCACTACCCATAAAAGCCTGGTAGAAATTTAGTGAGCTGGAAAATACTGAAGCTGGCAAAGACCTCAGTCTGGAGCATTTGTCTTAGGTGGCATAAAAAAACCTTACTCAGAGTGGCAATAACATGGGCCAGGTGAATCACTGAGTGTCAGCCTCTTGTGCACCAAAACAATTCTCTGCCCCAACTTGCTGCTGAGTAAGACAAGGCAAGGAGACCTCAGACATGGGAAGGAAGTTTTCACACTTCTTCCACAAGCTGTTTCTAGTCCTGGTGTCTGCATCACCCTCACAACAGGTTTTTCCAAGTATTTCTTTCACTTCTGCGGGTGGGAACAGGCACACCTGGTGTGGGAAGCCAAATTACAAACTCTTCCTTGCTGTTAACACATGGAAACTCTTATTCCTCTGTCCATTATGCACCTTTAATTTCATTCTTTGGTAATTTATGAATAATTATCAGCACACTTTGAAGATGCTGCCACATTCTTGTTCTCCTCAGAGTGCACCTTCATCGTGCTGGACTCGGAGCGCTGGCCTGGGCAGGCAGAGGAGAACTCCATGGTTGGGGATGTGAATCTCTTCCTCACCAACGCCGAGGACCCAACTGTGGGCGAGATTGAAATCATGATTGCAGGTAGCTCCTGCAATAGCTACCTGCAAAAAACTGCTTCAGAGCTTGGGGCTCTGTGACTGCAGCTGTGTGCTGCACAGAGATGTTGATATTCCTGCATCAGCTTTTTGTTCTCGTGCTTTACCATGGCTGTTCAGCCCTGATCAGTCCATGGTGTGTCCAGGTCACGGCCTCTTCTGAGAAGTGTCTAGTGGGGCTGGTTTGTCTCCCCTAACTGGATGCTGACTCTGTGCTGTCTCTTTCAGAGCCCAGCTGCCGTGGCAGAGGGTTTGGCAAGGAGGCAACTCTGCTGATGATGGCCTACGGTGAGGGTGGCTCAGTGCCAGGGAACAGAAGTGTGGTGGGGCTGGGATCTGGAACAACGAAATCCCGGGGGGAAAAGCAAGGGAAGAAAGGAAGCAACAACCCCAAAACCGGAAGCCCTGTGCTTTGATAGATGTGGCACGTAATAGAAGTGCCTCTCTCTCTGATTTCTCCTGCAGGAGTAAGAAAACTGGGGATCACCAAGTTTGAGGCTAAGATTGGCCAGGAAAATGAACCCAGTATCTGCATGTTCAAAAAGCTTCACTTTAAGGAGGTGCAGTAACAGCCCATCTCCCCAGAGAATGTGAGCAGCATTTGCCCTGTGGCTGGGGTTGAGCTGCTTTCTCTGTGTGTGCTGCAGGTTGCTGTGAACAGCATTTTCCAGGAGGTGACGTTGAGGCTGGATGTCGGTGACCAGGAGAGACAGTGGCTCCTGGAGCAGACAAACCACGTGGAGGAGAAGAGTTACGCTGAGCTGAAGCAGCCAGCTGGGGTGCTGGACACCTGACAGACACCTCCAGACACCAGCTGGGTTTCCAGGGTGAAGCTGGACCTTGTTGGAAGGTCTGGGTGTGGAGGACACCAGAGAGCCAACACTGGAACTGTTCTCATCTGTCTCCTTCAGCTGCTTTGTAACCTTGTCAACTTTGCACTTTGCTCCACCAGCCAGGATTACTGCCTGAAATTTGGACCTGGGGAACAGTCACTAACTCACAGGTTTGGCTAGGAAATACTCTAACTTAGATTTGCTGTTCCAACAGAGCCTAAAATTACCAGCAGTTGATTCCTGGACAAGCAGAAACTTCTCCCAGTGTCTTAAACCAGGATTCATCAGTGAGGAGGTTTCGTGTACTGGCAGCTCATTCTTTTTTCCTCTTGAATAAAAAAAAAAAAATCAAAAAGATCTGAGGTGCCTGACTACTTGGGGCTAAGCTGCTTTCTTTGGCAGCTCAAAAAATGGTTTATAAGTTGTAAAGGACAGCAGAGACTCTTTAAACCCAGTTTCCTCGGGTCTGGTAGATTGCAGGGGGAGCTCTGCTGGGAGAAGCCCAGATGTGGGTGAGCACAAACAAAGGGCAAGTTTATATAATGGAAAATACTGATATTGGCTGATCAAGGCTAGAGCTGAGCCCCACCACTAGGAGGGGGCTGAGAGCTGCAGGAGGCTCCTGAGACAAATCCCCTTCAGCTTCAGCACTGTGCTCCAGCTCTGAAAACCTCAAGCCAGCAGTGATGTTGCACTTCATTTCTTCATTTTCTTGGCTGCTTTGATGAAAGTAAGGAGGAGAACCCACTGAAAGGAGACAGCTCCCTTCTTCCACCAGCTCAGGACTTGCTCTGCTGAGTCTGGAGGGTCCATTTGCTGCTCTCCACTAAGGTAAAGATGAATGTGGGGGAAATATCTTACTGGGGGACAGATGTATTTAGGGCAGGAGTTACCCAGCCTCTGCTGCAGTAGATCTGAGATCCATGGATGAAAGAGGCACTTGTCCGACTCCCACTGGACAAGCTTCCCTGTGCAGTTACTCAGCCTGACCTGTCCTACCCTACACACACTGACCACAGCAGGGAAGCTGCTAAGAGCAGAAGGTAAGAAGGATAACTGATGCTCCTGTGTGTTTTCATACCGTAACAACAGCTGTAATGGCTAATCCTAGACCACAAATTACCTGTTTCAGTGATGGAAAATTTCAGATTTGCTGAGGGATGTTTTGGAGATTGGCAGCCTGTGGAATTTTTAGTGTTGCTGTGCCTGTATTTTTAGGGCTTGGGGGCTTTAGTTTTCCAATTTTAGCTAATTTAAATACATTAGTCCTGCAACTAATACTAAAGCCAAGTGTGGGAACAGTGCATCATGGCATTTTAAACAAGTACTTAGTTTGTAGTGAAAGCTTTGTGTGGTAATATAGTGAAGAGCAGCTCTACTTCCTGCTGGGATTACCATGACGAGGACTACTAATCCTCCTGCTCCTCATCACCTGCTGCAGGCAGAAATGGATTCTGTCCTCCAGCACAAGATTTGCAGAGCCTGCTGGGTGAACTGCTGGCTCTGGTGCTCCTTCCATGAAGTCTCAACCCTCTGCCAGAGGAGCAAGGCCAAACCGGCAGGAGAGATGTAGCTGGGCTGCAATTTGCTGCTCTAAAACCCGACCAATGTGGGAAAAATAATCTCTTTTAACCTCTGCTGCCAAGGGGAAGGGGCAGGGTGATGTGTTGCAGCTCCTGTGCCCAGCTGGTTGCTCTGGAGCCAGCGAGGGCCACGCTTGGCATCCCCGGGCCCGACAACGCCTGCACTGCCCCGGCTCCACGGGCGGCTGGGAACAGCCTTTCCCTGGCAACCACAACAGAGCTGGGCACGTCCCAGAGCTCAGCCACCCCAGAGGCTGGGGGGAAGAGTCCTGGCAGGGCTCAAACGGGGTTCCCACAGGGAACCAGTGCCCAGCTACTCTGGCCAGGCCAAGAGGCAAAAGATGCTGCTGGGACCCACTGGTGCCCCCACTCCTGCCCTGCCCCACCCTGTGGCATCCACCCCTGGTAGGGGTGTCCTGCTGCCCCAGGGGGATGAGGATGGGAAAACAGGGGATGGGGGCTCACCTTCCCTCAGAGAACACGACTTTGGAGGATGAGACAAGTTGGAATGAGCTCCTCCAGCTTCCAGGAGGAAGTGACAGCCTGCACATCCCCCAGAAATCTGGTGGCACTTTGTCACCTGGCTGTCACTTGAGGTCCAAAGATTTGTGACCATTTTTATGCTCAGGTGGAAAAGCTTCTTTGCAGATTTGGAGCACAAAGCAAGAGTGTGCAGAAGGGGAGGAAGCACAGATACCAGAGGCCAGGCACAGCCCTGCCTTGTCCCACTGTGCCACCAGTATGGCCCCACTGAGCCACCCAAGGCTACATCCTTTCCTTCAGAGGGACAAGCACCCCTCTCCTCACTGATTCCTCCTGCCTTCCCTCAACCCAGATGCAACCCAGGCTCATCCCAAAAACCCCCGTAGGGGCTGGGGGCACATTTGGGCTGCCTCAAACAGAGCTACTGCGCTTCAACCTGGCCAGCAGACCCAGATTAGAGCTTTACATCACCCCCCTCACCCTCCCCCCCACCACACATATAAACACACACACCCCACGGGATTAATGCTCATTAATCACCCCGAGTCATTAACCCCCACTGGGCCCAGCTGGTGCCTCCCCAGCCCCCTCAACCTGTCCCCATCACGTGCTGAGGGGTACCCAAACCAGGCCCAGTGCCCCCCAGTTACCTGCTTTTCCCCCAAGCCCCAGAGGGCCACAGCAAGCCCTCTGCACGCCCCTCCACCCACCCAGGCTCTGGAAGGATTTAGCCTTAAACCAGGCTTGTGAAGTCAGAAAGGTTTATTCCAGTAAACAGAATTTCTCTTGAGCTCAACAGTAAAACAACACCTGATTGCAGCACATATTGAAACAAAACATCCACAGGAAGAATTTCCACAAAATACAGGTAAAAAAAAAATAGATGTGATTGGAAAAACACTCATTTCAGAAAAAAAACACCAAAAAATCTGTGAGAAGATTTTAAATTAAACAGTGTTGGATTCAAACCCTGATTGGCTCTGTCTCCAGAAGTGTGCAGGAGCAAAGGAGACTATTATTGCTTGCTGTGCTGGCTCCAGACACCCTCTCCTCTCCCAAAATTTGCCCCAGGGCGGGGTGCTGGGCACTCCCCAATGCTGGGCACCCATACCCCTCCCTTGCAGCTGAAGAGGCAAAGGGACAGGGTCATTGTGGATGGAGCTTGCCAGGCCAGGGTCAAACACCCTGGCTGTGGTCAGTGGCTGGGCAGGTGGGGTTTGGGAGAAGACACTAAAAGCCTCAAGTTTTGCAGTTAAAGGGTAATTTGGGGGGATCTCAAATTGGAGATGAGGTTTGGGGTGGGGAAAAAAACAGGGAACAGTGGGGACCAGGAGTGTTGGGCATCAGGCCACCCCAAATCCTTGATCCCTCCCAAACCTCTGCTTGTGCCTACCAGGGTGTGCAGGGCTTCAAGGCAGGGCTGGAGGAGCACCCTGGGGGTGAGCTTTTAGGAGGGGTCACCCCCAGCACCCCCGGCCCTGAACCCCTCTGCAGGGATGCTCACTGGCCACCAAAGCCCAGCACCCGGGTCAGGGTGGTAGGGAGCAGCCCCACGTCTCTACCAGGAGCCCATGGCAGGGAGGAGAGGAGTGCAGGAGAGGTTGGTATGGGGCTGGGGGTGGGTAGAAGACCCCCACCCTACCTCAGGGCCTTCACAGGTTGCTGAACAGTTCATTTTTCTTGCTCCAGTCCATCTGGGGTGCCCTCTTGCTGGTGCGCTTCTGGTGCGCCCGCTCCTTGGCCACGGCCAGCGGGATGTCGAGGTCCAGGAGGGAGCCGGATGCTGAGTGGCGTTTGTCACCCTCCTGCGTGTGAGGATGGGGATGAGCCACAGCACTCTGTGTCCTCTGGACAGCCCCACAGTGGGGGCTCAGCCCGGATTGCTTTCCAGCCAGCGGCTCCCCCCAGCATTCCCAGCCCTACCTCGCTGTGGGTCTCGCTGGAGTTGGGGGACACAGCCAGTGCCGTGGGGCTGGCCGGGCTCTCGGACACCGAGTGGGACCGTGGCTCTCCACCATTTTCCTGAGGGCAGCAGGGAGGGAGTGTGAACTCCAGCCCTGGGGCTTGAAAACAGCCTCCAGAGTTGCAAGTCCCACCCAGGGGGCCATGAAATCCGTCCTTCCCCCACGTAATCCCCTGCAAGCTGCAGGCACATAAATACCTCTAGCGCTGCCCATCAGGGCGGGGAAGGATTAGAGCCCAGCCTGATTGCCCTGGCTTGAGCAGGAGCAGGAGGGTGGCTGCAGGGCTGGGTGCTACTTCCCTACTGCAGCACGAGGGCTCCCAGCCCTGGAGCATCAGAAGGCAAAAGAGAGCAGGAAAACAGCCACCTCCAAGACACTCAGCACCACAAGCATCCCCCTTTCGTGGAGGACACCAGTTCCCAGTGGCACAGGCTCTTGTGTGGCAGCCTGAGACCACTGTGGTGTCTGGTGGCATCACCCACCCATGGACAGCGGGGACATGAACAGGAGGGTCCCTGACTGGAGATGGGCACAGATGGAATTAAGATCAAGACAAGGCTCTTACCTTCCCTATGTCACCATTGGCTACTGGTTCTGGCAAGGGACCTGTGGGATAAGGACACGGGCACCGGGTGAGGATGTGTTTGCTTTGTCCCCTTGCCAGTGGAGGGCAAGCCAAGACTGTGCATGGCCAATGCTCACACAACACTGCCCAGAGTCTGACCAGGTCCTGAATTTTTTAACCACTCGCTGCAGCCAGCCCTGTGGCACAGGGGATTGCTGCCAGACACATCCCAATGATGGCAGCTGTGATGTGGAGCCCAGTGAGACCCCTTCCCCATCCTCCTGGGAACCACTGTGACAGCAGAGGAGAGCAAAGGGCAGCTAATGCCTGTTTGCTCCCCAGGCCATAAACCCCGCCAAAGAGCAACCCAGGGCCATAAACTAGCCCACCCCCAGCATGGGGCCCTCAGCCAAGCAGGGAGACACCAAAGCCAGGTGACTCTGCTTGGCCGCAGGGTGATAAGACCAACTGCCAGGGCTCAGCACCCTTAGGTTTGGTGAGAAGGTGACACAGAGCCAGCAGAGGTGGCACAAACCCCTCCCAGCAGCACAGTCCCTAGCCCACCTGTTAGGTGCTGCTCCGAGGGCACCACCTTGCACTTCTTGAAGAACTCGTCTGTGAGGGTGTCCACCACCAGCAGCCTGGTCTCGTCGCCACTCGCCTTGATGGCTGCCACCACGTCGCTGTGCTGCTTGCCCTCCATGCACACACCATTCACCTGCAGGCACCACATCACCACTGCAGCTGGGGGACACCCATCCC